ATGCATAATTGCCTCCGTCAAAAAATAGATGCACAGAAAGAGACTGGCTCACCTAGATTAAATATAGGTCAAGAATCGAAATGAGGCTTTGATACCTCTTGTTAGTTACTAGTTCAACCCTAACGCGGAATTAAAATTAATAATAATTAAGCAACAAGTCACTTTTAATTGTTTCAAGGTAGTTAGTCAATCAATTCAATTTTCCTATAGTTTGAATGCCGCAATAATTAATAAAAGCAGTAAATAACACAAAATGTGATGACGGAGAAAACCCTAAATTGGATAAAAACTCTGTGACCAAACCAACGGTTTCCACTATAGACAATGTGAACTTACAGTATGATCCAGTCTAAAAAATCCACTAGACTAGCTGATCTAATTCCTGCAATCTCCAAATTCCGCTGGAACGTACTTCACTCACACCTACTTTCGATCTTTTGGAATTTTCTATCTCCTATGGATTAATGAGAACTCCTTGTTCTCCAACATCCAGAAATTCTAGTCACCTTTCTTGATCTTCACAACACTGACAATGTTGTGGAAGTATGTGTTTTGATGTTTGGTTTATGAGAGGATGATGTTTTTTCCAAGCAATGATTAAATCAAAAGAAGGTTGAACGCTACGAATGATTTGGAGGATGTAAACTCTTGTTTTTCTCATGTTCAACTCGTATTTTTCGAATGGTGGCATCGATATATATATATATATATAGTGAAGATGTTTTAGGTAGTACGGGCAGGATAAAAATCTTGAAAAACGTGAATTAGATTTTCTCGGAATACACTGTCGCTCGAGCAACAGCTCAAAGAAAAGCGATCGACGGTGTCTCGCTCGAGCGATGGGCGGGCAACGCAACATCTGTTTTTACCGCTCAAGCATCAATTGGCCGATATGCTAGAGAAATTGCGACGATTTTTTCCTTCTCGTTCCATACTTAAACTCTATGATTTCTAACTAACCACTTGACACTTTGACTTTTAAAAACTCTTTTACAACAATAGTTTTGTCTAAAGATTGCCAACAATTTTAAAACCTAACAATTAGTATATATAAAAAATTATAATTTTTAAATCTTCAATATTATAAGAATGTCAGTTTAGCAAAAACAAAAATATGGTTAGCGAAAAATAATTCATATAGTCAGTTTTAAAATATTTTATTATAATATAACTAGTTTTAGCCTGTGCGATGCGTGTGTTTTGTTATTTTTAAGGTTATGTTAGCATTGTATATAAATTCAATGAAAAAGTATTTATTTTGTTTTCCATTAGATGTTATATATTTAGCAAAACTTTATGCATATAAGACTTATAACTATTGGAAAAAAAATATATAGTATAATTAAATACAAAAACAGATACAGCCACGAAAAGTATATGTTTGTAACTGTGAAAATGCTCTTATATACAGAGAGACTTACAGTTGCTGACTCAAACTAAAATAATACCATGCAGATTTTAGCGTAAATATAAATATAAAAAAAAATATTTGTNACAATAGTTTTGTCAAAAGATTGCCAACAATTTTAAAACCTAACAATTAGTATATATAAAAAATTATAATTTTTAAATCTTCAATATTATAAGAATGTCAGTTTAGCAAGAACAAAAATATGGTTAGCGAAAAATAATTCATATAGTCGGTTTTAAAATATTTTATTATAATATAACTAGTTTTAGCCCGTGCGATGCATGTGTTTTGTTATTTTTAAGGTTATGTTAGCATTGTATATAAATTCAATGAAAAAGTGTTTATTTTATTTTCCATTAGATGTTATACATTTAGCAAAACTTTACGCATATAAGACTTATAGCTATTGGAAAAAATATATAGTATAATTAAATACAAAAACAGATACAGTCACGAAAAGTATATGTTTGTAAGT